ATAGAGCTTAATAATTATGATTATGAAGTTCAAAAAATATGAATATATAACTTTATAATTATGAACATATAGTTTAGTAATTATGAACATAGAACTGTGTCCACCTTGCAAGGTAAACACGGTTTCACAGCATAACGATTGCATAAATGTAGTATGGATTAATATTGGATAGTTATTGGAGATTATATATTTAGTTTCATTCATCTAGCTAGATTCAAATTTTGTAAATACAATATCGAATCGTGTAAAACTACAATTAAAAGTTAATAGAATAAAAGAGAAGTTTGGGGCAAGAATAAAAGAGAAGTCCATAGTTTAAGAACAAAACAAGTGGCAATTGGCAAATGAATAGATAGGAGATTAGGAGAATATGTAGAATCAGAATCAGCCGTGGCTTGGTCATATACGCAAAAAATCTTGACAATGGATTGTTATCTGTTTTTTTTTTTTTTAATGCTATTGACTCTATTACAATTTTAGCTATTTTTTTTTAATTTTAATTTTTTACATTTTGAAATTAGAAGTGTATTGAATTAAGTTAAAAATTAAATATTAGATGAATTATTCAAAATCATGGTTCCGAAACAACAGAATTAATATCATTTCAAGAATTTAATGAACTCAATGCTGACTCCCTGTTTGATAAGTGGGATAATGCTTGACTTTCTCAGGTTGGTGGGGATTCTTAGGGATTGTTTACTAAAATGGAAAATTTGAGAACTTTTCAGAAAAACAGAAAAATAGAGAAATGAAAATATAAAAAATAAAAAACTTGTTTACTAAATTTATTTCTCCAATTTTGTTTTCTATCTCCAATTCTTCCGTTTATGTACAATTTTGAACGAAGAATGCAAAATCAGTGTTCTCCATTTGGAGAAATGATTGTTTTTTCCCTTCTTTGTTCCTTGTTTACTTCTTCTTTCATTCTTGTTTTTTCCCTTCTTTGTCCATTGTTTGTTCAATTGTTCCCCATTCTTCTTTCTCTCCTTTTTTTTCCCCTTCCTTAGTCCTTCTTAGGGCTGTTAACGAACCGAACATAATCGAACGGAGGTTGTTTGTGTTCGTTTGTTAAGAAATTTGGAGTGTTTGTGTTCGTGTTTGTTTGTTAGGATTTTTTAAAATCCTGTTCGTGTTCGTTTGTTAAGCGTTCGTTAGTGTTCGTTAACGTTCGCGAACACATTCACGAACGTGTTCGTTAACGTTAACGAACATGTTCGCGAATGTGTTTGCTAACGTTCGTGAACACGTTCGCAAACGTGTTCGTTAACGTTAACAAACACGTTCACAAACATGTTCATTAACAAGCACGTTCACGAACATATTCATTTACGTTCATGAACACTTAATAAACAAACACCTGCACAAGTTCATGATCACAATTCGTTCGTGAACAATAAATAATCTACGTTCACGAACAATAATCAAACAAACAACACAACTACAAAACTAATATAATATAATATAATATAATATAATATAATATAATATAAGATATATGTTTGTGAACATGTTCACGAACATTATTAAACGAACACAAACGAGCTTGTTCACAAACATTATTAAACGAACATAAACGAGCTTGTTCACGAACATTAGTAAACGAACACAAACGAGCTTGTTCACGATCTCTTAGCAAACGAGCTTACGACTGTTCAAGCTCTGTTTGTTTATTAACCAAGCTCTAAATTTTGTTTGTTAATGTTCGTTTACTTTAACAAACGAACATAAACCAGCGCTTACCAAACACGAACACGAGTAGTTTGACGAAAACTCTGTTCGCTAACACCCCTAGTCCTTCTTCCTTCCCCCCCCCCCCCCCCCCCCCCCCTTATCTTTTCATTATTATTATTATTATTATTATTATTATTATTATTATTATTACTACTAGTAGTAATTTACCCGCGCGATGCACGGGGAAAAAATTATGTTATTATAAATATAAATAAAAAAATAGAAAAAATAAAAATATTTTAAATTGTTTAATATAATAATATTTTTTGAGCTTCCATTGGTCAAGTATTTATTATTTTATAGAATGCAAAATTACAATTAAAATTAAAATCAAAATTTTGTATGGTTAATATAATCTCTACTTAGGTACATATTCAAATAAACTTTTAGAGAGAATTTACATAATTACATTGATTTATTCTTAATTGTATTTCATCTATATTATAATTTTCACAATATAAATAATAACTAAGATAATTACATTTAGAAAGCTAATTTCAAATTGTGTATGAGTAAATTTAAACTCTAATTGAACACGGTTTTTTTTATATGATTATATAATATATTCTTTATGCACATGCATGTCATTCCATAAACCCAAATGTCATTCTATAAGCCCAACACCACTTTTTGTGGAGATAATTCAAATGAATTTTTTTTTTCTTTTAAAAGTCCTAAGTTTAGAAATCCAGAAAAAACATTAAAGACCCATACGATATATACATTTATATATTTAAATTTTTATTTATGGCTCAAATGATTTTTTAATTTTTTTTTTTAAATTCTGAAGTCCAATAATTGATTCACGGCCCGCAGCATTTGCTTTCTTCCTCCCTTCTTGCTTTTGCCATTTCTTTGAAGCATTTGAGAAGATAGAAAAGTACACTCCACAATCTCTACCTGTAGAAGGTGGTTCTTTAATGTCTGGCTCCATTTTTTCTATCACTTTCCATGATTCTTCTCACATGAACTGGACTATATATATATATATATATATATATATATATATATATATATATATATATATATATATATAGGGTAAGAGTGAGCTTGGAGAAAAATAAGAATCAATTACAACCGTCTATCTAGAAAGATCTAATGGATCAAATCTAATTTAAAAAAAAAAATGTGGTAGTATTTTTTTAAAGGGAAAATTGTAATTGATGCCCCTCCATAATATGTCAATTATCAATGTCACCCCTAAATTATTAGTAGTACAAATGTTGCCCCTCAATTTTTAAAATGGTACATATGTTGTTTCTTCCGTACCGTACGGAAGGGGCAATATATGTAGCATTTTATAAAATTGAGGGATAAATTTGTACTTGAGAAAGACAATATATGTATTGTTTTGAAAATTGAGGGCAACGCTTACACCACGTTAGCATTTACCACCATCGGTCGGTCGATCTTTCTCCGGTCATTTCCGAGTGTCTGACTAAAATGCTTGGGGGCAGAGCTATACATCAGTTATTAATTTAACCAGGAAGTTCCAATCACAATATTATTGCACTTGTCCTCCTTGCACTACAATCCTTACCTCCCTGGGGGTGCTATTGCAAATTTAAAACAAAGGAATATCAATATATATTAAACACTGAGTAAATGAGAAATACAAGGAGGCAAGGAAGACACCCACGTTCTCAGGACAGATTCAAAATCAGTTGCCTTTGCAAGAGTATGAGTCACATGATTCGTTGACTTATGAATATGGCGAACAGTAATGTTTCCAATACCCCTAGCAATATCCCGACATTGCTTAACAACTGCACCAACATAAGAAAAGTTGTGAGTCGAAGAATTAAAAGCATAACAAAAATTTAAACAGTCTGATTCTAGTAAAATATTATCAAGACTAAGGTCCTTGAGCCATTTAAGTGCTCCTTTTACCGCCATCGTCTCCGCTAGATAAGGGTCTCGTCCACAACTTAATCACTGTTGTAAATTATAGAATTTCCGATCACCTGAAAATGATCTTAAATCAAGTCGAAAGTCTTGTTTCGACCACTTTTGGTATCCGGAAAAATCTTTGTTGCTATTTCCGACCACCTTTTACTTTCAACTTGATTTAAAATCACTTTCAGGTGGTCAAAAATTCTATAATTTCCAGCAATGAATTTACCACCCAAAGCCGCAACAGCACTGCCATAACAATATTCTTTACAATTTACTCTCCACACATTCACTTGCTGCTTCAAGCCTTCAGTTGTCCAAGCTGCATGCATTGCGCCACATCACAATATCATTACGCATGTTCCAAATAGACCACATAACAGCCGCCATTTTGATAGCACAATCAACATCTTGAGCAGCACTTTTGTTTAGTTGATAGTGGTGAAAATTGACATATCCTCCTGTTCCTTAGTAATGATGAGTGAACAGGTTTTCCTTTTCAACTTGGAGAATAAGGGTGTATGTAATGAGTGCGACAATTATCCTAAGTCTTGAAAATATTTGTTACTATTCGAAGTACCATTCGGTTGGTTTGAGTGTAGAGCAGAATTATCCTAAGTCTTGAAAATAAAATAATTAGAGTCTAAAATTTTTATTAGTTGGTATATCAAAATCTAAAAACATATGTTCCTAGCTAACAAAATATAACTGTAGTGTATCAAATCTTCTTCAGTTGGTTGGGACTTGCAGATTGATCCAATTATACTCTAAGCTTGAGTTTAATCTTCACTTTGATCTCTTCTCCAATGCTGTCTCGTTTCGTCCTTAATTATTTTGTACAACTTTTGCTATCAAACTTGCTCACAGTACACCGTGCTATTTTCCATGCTAAAAAGTGTCATGTTTATCTTCCACTTCTAGTGTTGAGTGCTAGTTAGCATCCATGCCTTCAATTGTGTATGCTACTTCTAGTAGCAATTCTACTTTTAGCATAAAATGTAGCCAATAAGATTCTAACCGTGTACCATTAATGCTCAGCATTTATACGCCATTTTCTCCTCTCTTCAAATAAATTAAATTTTTTCTCCAATTCTTTCTTTAAAATTAATTTTTCTAGAAAATTAATTATACTCTTTAAATTTTTTCATTTTTCTCCTTACTTATAATTTGCTATAAAGAAGTAACACTTCGAATTTGCTCAATCGAATAGTTAAAATTTCAAAACTTATACAAGTCTATTAACCCCCCTCCCCCCCCCCCCCCCCCCCCCCCCCCCCCACCCCGCCCTCTACTTGTAACCCCTCCTACCGGGACCAACAATATATTGCTATGGCAAAAATTTAGTGACTAAAATGACTAAACAAGGAATAATTGAGAGATTAAAAACGTTTTTTTTTTTCCTTAATTATATTTGTTTTGAAAAGATTTCCTTAATTATATTATTCACTTTCTAATAGACATTATATAATTGTAATAGAGTCAATTCTATTCACATTAGTTTATTACTTCCTTCATCAGTGGTTTACTTTCTAATTTTCACATCTTGACTACCAATAAATTAAAACTATTTATATTTATTAGTTATTCATAGATTGACCAACCATAATACAAGTTAAAAAGAGAAATATACTTATTAATCAAATTAAAAAAAAAAATCAATAGTGTTACATAAAGAAATGAATATATTTAGAGATAAATTTAAGAGAAGAATATAACAACACTCTTCAAGATACACATCACTAACATAAAATTATTAATTCAAAAATTATTTTTATTATTTTCCACAAATTAAATAAATATTTTATACATTAAATAAATAAATAAAATTTACTACTAAAATTTCATCTTTAACAACGTTTTATCAGGATTCCGTGATCAAAGTTTGTGTATCCAATGTAAAATGTAGGGTTAAAGCATTGGTAGCAGACAGCCAGACACAGAGATTTGAGAGTTCTGATTAAATAATTAAGAATATGCCACGCACTTGATTACATCACACTCATTTAGATTGGAGAATTTTATTTGATTATATATATTGATTTCAAATGATGCATACTTGATTTGTTGGCACTCCAAAATATTAATAAACTTGTAATATTTTATTATTGATGTGATGATGATATATGTGATGACTATTCCCTTTACTTAATCTATGGGCTTCAAAGTGTAGGGGCAAACATGTCCATGACCAAATTCAATCACAACTGGTGTGTCTTCATCATAAAAAATAAGAAAAAAAATTTGGTTTTAAGTAATGTGGTATTTGCCAAGCACTTTCTACTCAGATAACACTTATGTGTCTCCCCTTAAGGGATGGTCACAAGGTTGAACCCCGGTGGTGGGGTATTGACTCTTTGAGCTATAATAGTTAGAGAAAATATATAATATATATTACCTTGTAATACAGTCAATAGTATTTAAAAAAAAAAAGAGAGAAAATGGTCAAATAGGTCCCTTAACTTTAGCTAAAAGGGCAATTAAGTCCCTGAACTTAAAAAAATAGCAATTAAACACTTAAACTTGTCAAAATGAGTCAATAAAGCCCATAAAACGGTAGATGACCTATTATAACACGTCATTTTAATTCCAGCTAAAAAAATCGGCGACGACTAGTCGCCATCTACGGCGAAAGGCGACTAGAAAGGTCGCCTCTCCAATGGAGAAGGTGACCGGATTGGTCGCCTCTCCAGTGGAGAAGGCGACCAGATCTGGTCGCCTTCTCTACACCCGCACTGGTCGCTTTTCCACCGGAGAAGACTACCGGTCGTCTTCTCCGGAAAAGCCACCGGAAGTTGGTTTTAATGGTGGTTAAACGTGATATTATAGGTTACCCGTAAATCGGACCTATTTGACTCATTTTGACAAATTTAAATGTTTAATTGTTATTTTTCAAAGTTTAGGAACCTAATTGCCCTTTTGGCTAAAGTTTAGGAATTTATTTGACGATTTTCTCTTTAAAAAAAAAAAAAGAGTAATGTGATATTTATGAAAATTAAAATATTAGCTTCCTTTACTAAAACCATTACATAATTATTATTTATTACTTGATGTGACATTAAATTACGTACATAACTGCTATTTATTACTTGATGTAACATTAATTAAAATTTTTCTTATGAAAACTTGTAAGTTGACCAATTTCATCCTTAATTAATTAATAAATGACTTAATTCTATTTTTTTTCATAAATTTATAGGTGTCAGTTCACTTTTAGTTTTTTTTTTTTTTCAGAATATATTACTTTGGTCTTATTACCATTTTTGCCATTCATCATCAAAATTATTGAAATATCATTAATTTTATACAAAGTGGGTTGACATTTGACCTGCTATATTTTTATTTTATTTTATTTTTTTACAAAAAGTTCATAATTAAAAACTTAAATGTCATTGTAGTTTATGGAATTTAAACAGTTTTATTTATAAATGACCAAAAATGGTCATGTCACAGTAATACTATAACCAAATAGAGTGTTCTGAAAAAAGAAAAAAAAAAGGCCTAAAAGGAATTTGACATTTATAAGTCTAAGATAAGACTAAAAATGAAATTAACTCTTAATAAATAATTTACACAATAATTAAATCTAAAACGATATTCAATTTAATAATGTAATAATGATATGTTAAGTATTAAATCTGATTTTGTCGATAAATGATGTCATTCAATATAGTAATGAACAATTGAAACTTTTTTTTATTATAAGCAAGGGGATACCTTATATACACACTACTTGCCTCAAGTTTAGGTTCGAACCTTTCACTGCACCTCCCACTTAGGGGAGCAACCAGGTACTAGTGAACCACAAGCCACTTAGTAAATGAATAATTGAATTTAATTCTCTAAAGATTAAACTCATCGCTTGTATAACTCAGGAGTTAAAAATGATACACATCTAATTTATAGACATATTATAAGTATAAGACTAAAACTGTAAATTTATCCTTTTTATTACTGTAAAACCTAAATGCCTATCTTGCAGTCTTTATAAGTAGCAAGGTCCTTTTCGAACATCAAATCGACTAGGAAAAAAATTACATGCGCGCACATAATCACATATATATACTCCTTAGTGCGACAAATAAATAAAGGGAAAAAAAAAAAAAAACCTAAAATAGACTTAAAAATAGAAAAGAATATAAATGCTAATGATAAGGAAACTGTTACTCTTACATTTTAATTTTTTTTAGGATGATGAGAGAAATTTGAAATCATTATTTGAGGATGTATAATGAGTAAATTTACTTTGTGATTTTGGCCAATATATAAAAGATTACAAGGAAGTAATCTAAGTTGTTTATAGTTGACTAGTTCAAATCAAGAAGGCTAATAAATCGCTCATGGTTAGAGTTAAACTTGTAACATTGTAGTTACTAAATTAAGCCAACTTTGTTGTCTGCACACTTACATTTTTAGATTACGTTTATTAATTTACCAAATAGAAAATCTACATCTACAAATATAATAAGAGCGAATAAAGTTAAGCACTTAATAGGAACAAAGAAATGTTGGCGTAATTGTTTGTTAAAATAAATGGTTCATATTATTTTGATTTTAGTATTTTTTTTAATATAATTTTTCTTATTTACTCTCTATTATATTATTTTTTCTCTTAAATAATCCTACATTCTGTTAGACTAAACTTTAGTAACGGAATATTCCGTTAACTATTTATTATTCTTAACTTATTTGTTAATTTCTATAAGTAAGGTCTTAGGTTCGAGCCACATCCCAATCAGAGTTGACATAATTGTTAAACATATACCACGAATATGCTAAAATGTATTTTAAAAAATACTATATAAAATTTAACATAAACTTTGGTCAAATAATTAGTCCGACTAAATACATAACATTTAAAGTTGAGCATCAAATATTATAATCAGGAACCTTGAAAATCATTTTCTTTGTTTTTTTTTTTTTTTTAAAATTTTGGTTAATTTTTTTTTCTTTAAATTAATCTTCTTTTGATTATTTAGAACAAGACTCAATATTTCAATTATGCTTTTGCATTGTTGGAATGATTTAGGTCATTATGGTATTAATATTTTTTGTACGTATTTCTACAATGGTATAATTGTACATTACTTTAAGTTGAGCATCAAATATTATAATTAGGAACCTTGAAAATCATTTTCTTTGCTTTTTTTTTTTTTAAAAAAAAAATTCGGTTAAGTTTTTTTTTTTTCTTTAAATTAATCTTCTTTTGATTATATTTAGAACAAGACTCAATATTTAAATTATACTTTCACATTGTTGGAATGATTTAGGTCATTAAGGTATTAATATTTTTTGTATGTATTTCTACAATGGTAAGAAAGGTCTTAGGTTCGAACCACATCCCAATCAGAGTTGGCATAATTGTTAAACATATACCACGATTATGTTAAAATGTATTTTAAAAAATACTATATAAAATTTAACATAAACTTTGGTCAAATAATTAGTCCGACTAAATACATAACATTTAAAGTTGAGCATCAAATATTATAATTAGGAACCTTGAAAATCATTTTTTTTTTTAATTTCGGTTAAAGTTTTTTTTTTCTTTAAATTAATCTTCTTTTGATTATTTAGAACAAGACTCAATATTTCAATTATACTTTCGCATTGTTGGAATGATTTAGGTCATTATGGTATTAATATTTTTGTATGTATTTCTACAATGGTATAATTGTACATTACTTTACAAATATATATTGTACTATTATTTTTTTTATTGGACAAAATTATTCTTACATCATTGTCAGACCTGCGCGACCTAACTATAAAGTTGTTGATAAGAAATACAACTACACATGCACTCTAAAATGGTATGACCATTTTTCAAAAAATTGACAATGTAGACATCCCACTAGCTCCAATTGAACGAGTTTACATATCATTTTCAGAATTTTACTAATGCATGACAACTTTTAAAGAAATTGTAAGTTAATTTTTACTAAATCATTATAACAATATATATTGTAACCATATATTTGGTATTATTATCATAATCATCTATTGACAACAATTATAACAATTGTCATTGACAAACCCTCAAAATAATATGTCTCAACAACGAATGAAAAAAAAATCAATGCCTTCATTGTTGTGGATGAAAAGTATGTACCCTACTTTATTACTCTTATTAAATTAAATAAATTAGTAGCTACAACAAAAAATAATACAGATTCATTTATTTAATTTAAAATTAGATTATATTTCTATAATGCTTTTATTCAAAAAAAAAAAATTATTCGTTATAAAAAAAAATTAAAAAAAAATAGAGATATAATTTCATTATATGATCTTTATTTTCTACCATTTAAAGATTCATTACTATCAAATTCATTAATTAATTATATTCAGTACATTGCCATTGTCTTCATTTTACTATATCTTGTAATTAAATATCAAAGTTATTATAATACAAAATATATATTATATATTTATTTACTAAGTATTTTATACAAATATAATAAATATTACTCTCTCTGTCCCATTTTATCTGTCCTACTTACTATTCATTAGTCAAACCAACTCTTTCGTTTTTGCTTATTTTCTTTATTGTTTTTTACTAATAAATTTGATTTTTTGTGTTTAATAGTACTTTTAGTGTAGTTTCTAAATATATAAATTTTGTATATTAATATTAAACTTAATATTATGAAAAATTGAATTAAAAATAACTCAGTCAAGCCTCGTTAACCAAACCAGACACATAAAGTGGACGAAGGGAGTAATATTTTGTTTAATACTTTCACATGATAATCTACAAGACACATCTCACAACACATGAAATTAAACATGTAAGGGAAAAACTATTACTGCCAAATGTCAACATGTGCTTGCAAGATAATGAGTTCATAATACAATTAAGATCCCAGTCATATACACAGCAACACAAATCTAAAACTTCCTACACCATAATCTCATTACATTACATTGCCCTCTATGTTACCACCAGTAACCCAATTACACACGACACACTACCAATAAAAAAGATGAGGACAAGTACTGAAGATGAAGACAATGACAATGCTACCCAAAAGAGAATTAAGAAGAATTGGAGAAATTTAAACCAAAAGTAGTATTTATTTAGACTATCGTTATTAGACTAAGTATTTAGACTAGCGTTATTACAAAATTACATACATTTATTTTAGTGACAATTATAATCAGATCAATCTCACATATATTATCTTGCATTTATATATTTTGAGTTATTAATTTAAATAAATAAATTTAACATTCAATTACTTATATATGAACATATTTTATATAATCTTACATTAATATACTTTGAAGTACTTATTTAAAAATAATTATTAAACATTATTTCATTTGCGGTACCACTTTGGGTTGGGAAGGTTGCAACCGTCAATAGTCATGTTCGGTGAGATTTTTTTCATTGAAATATCTCTAATATATTAACCATAAAAATGATTTGTAAATCTTTTACTAAAGAAAACTAAATGCAACAGTAATAACAAAAAAAATATTATATTTAAAGTACGTGAATGTTTCTTACGGATTGACAGTACAATGGAAAATATTTATACTACACATAAGCGTATGTTTTACTTTTTATTTTTTAAAAGGGAAAAATATTTAAATACACCATTTTATTTTATTCAAAAATTAATTAGGTTCTTAAATAATTTTTAAAATGTACAATTAAATCTATTAACCTGTAATTTTGATACATTAAAGTCCAAAAATCGATTAGTGACATGTAATAGCAGGTTAATAAGGTTCTAGTGACACTCCAACCAACTCCAACAAGGTTACGGGGATTAACATCGTCAACTATTTGCCAGTCATCAGTGTTAGCCCCTGAAACCACATTGGATTTAGCTGGAGGATTGCCGGAGTTAGTCAAAGTGTCGCCAGAATTATAGTGACATGCTATTACAAGTCATTAACAATTTTTTGAACTTCAATGCATCAGAATAACATGTTAATGGGTTTAATTGCACATTTTAAAAGTTTAGAGATCTAATTGACTTTTCGAATAAAATTTAAGAGCCTATTTGACTTTTTTTTTTTTTTTTTTTGTTGAAATACAATTCTTTGTAGAAGATTACGACTTGGATAAGAAATTTAAGGATAACTAACTAAATAAGAAATAAACATGTGTATAATCAATTTCTTTTTCTTTGTACAAACAAATACAATATAATGGGTGTCTCTCCATTCACCCTCTAATGTCTACACGACAAGTCATAATTTATGACCACACACCAACACCAAATTTTCAATCTTTTTTATTAATTTATATTTTTTTCTACTTCTTTTCCTTGAGCGAGCCAATAATCAATTATTATGGGCTTAATTAAACAAATTGAACACAATCCACCTAACCAAATCATAATTATCTATAATTTTGTACAATTAACACACCTTTATCCAAACACTAATGTTTAATTCTTTCACCTCTCCATGTCCGAAGACGCAAAAAACTTGCCCATTTCAAGAAACCTCTTTGACTCGCCGTTTCGCGCAGCTTTGTCGTCTCTCTTCTGCGCCTCAACATCTTCAATTTCTATTGTAGTTTCGTCGTCTTGGTCGTCCAGTTTCGTCGCCAGAGACTGGTACTCCACTTTTTGGTCGTAAATCTTGAGGAGCGCCAAGTATGCGGCGACGGCGAAAATGGTGACGGCGATTACGTACCAGCTGAACTGAATGTTGACGAGCGATTTGGCCCGCTCGAGGTCTCCGTGGGCGTGGCAGCGCACCACCTGGTGTCCCTCCTCGGAGTTGATGAAGCAGCCTTTGGGGATAAGCTCCGGCGTCCAGAGCATGAAGCCCATCGCCATAAACCACACGCCTTGGAGGAGAATACTGGCGGACCTCACGAAGCCGGTGAGGAAGCTGCGGGGGAAAGGGATGCTGAGAAGGGTGGTGGCTAAGGACACGAAGATGACGGCCTGGAGGAGCCAGTGGTACTGGCCTTCCACCCCCATGTGGTCGGCGGAGTGGAGGTGGAAGAGGAGGAGCTGCTGGGCGAAAGCCATGGCGCCGAGGAATTGCGTCAGCTGGAACTTTGCCGGTGCCGCGGTTTTGTCCAGGAGGACGGAGAAAACGGCGTAGACGAGGAAGGTGAGGGAGATGTTTGAGTGCTCGAAGTTGTGGAGATGGTTAGAGGGTATGGTCCCATCTAGGTCTAACGGCTGGTGCCTAGCCGGGCCTATGAAAAGCTCCATGGATATGGAACCTAAGCAGCCACCCATGATCAAGAAAAGCTCCAAGTATTTGATTCTTGGAGTGGGGAACCATGGGAGAGAAGTGTAAGCTTTTGGGTGGAGAGCATGGAGCCTTATGTGGTTCAATAGATGCCATAGCCCAATCACAAAGAAACCAAAACCTGGTGCAACATGCCCCACCAATGTACCCATGTCTTAGATTGTCTGTCTGGTCTGCGGGTTTTTTGGTCTAGAAGTTCTGTGTAGAGAGAGAGAGAGAGAGGGAGGGGAAAATTTGAGGCTGGGGTGGTGAGATGGAAAAGGGATGAGAGAGAGAGGGGGATTTATATACTGCAGATTCAGTATTTGAAAGAGAATTTTATTTGATGGTCTAAGGCTCCAGAGGCTTCTATGAGGGAGTTGAAGTTTGAATATTTTGGGTAACTTAGAGCTTGAGAGGCGTTTCATGTTTTGGTGAAAATGGATTATGTAACACGTGATTGGGATTTGGGATTATATAGACCACTATTTAAGTTAGTCATAGAAAGTACTCTATCTATGACATATTGAATGAATTTAAAGAATAAAATAAATATTAGTTCATCACTTCCACAAAACTCAACAAATTCATTAATATTATCTAATTAACTAACCAACATGGTTGGCGTGGTGGTTCAGTACCTCGTCCCTTAAGCATGAGGTTGGTCAATCCCCTACCACTTAGTGCGCTGACAGTAAGTAAAAAATTATCTAATTAACTAGTATTTTAACTAGTATATTATCTAATAGATAATATATGTTTTTTTCTATGACGTTTAATTTCTGTTGAAAATATAACCATTAATGTGCAATCCAATTATTAGCTTAAGCTTTTAGTTGAGATGGAGCACATGCTTCAATTTGGTATCAGAGTCAGACCAAAGGTCATAGGTGTCACTCGATAAGCGACTATGCAGAGGCTTTTAGTTGAGATGGAGCACATGCTTCAATTGTTTCTAGCTTCTAACAATATGTTTAGTGTGATAACACACATTTAATGTAAGTTTTTGAAATTATTGAAAAACAATATGTTTAGTGTGATACCACACATTTAATGTAAGTTTTTGAAATTATTGAAATAACGGATGGTAAATGCTATCGAGCATCTAGTGTCAGTACGTTTTACCTGTCATTCATTATTCATTAAGGTCAATGTTTGATGATTAACCAAAAGACTAATGAATATACATAAAATAGTAAATGTTAAATTTTGTAAATAATTATTATTTTATTTTTAAAAATATACTGTTGTCCGTTTTATGTTTATAATAGGAGATACGATGATGTCTCTCTTTCTTATATTTTTGTTGGAGTGTTGGTGGCTTGGAGAGGAAGTTAAGGTTATTGGGTTCAATTTCAAAACAGTTGACCAGAAACAGTTCTTTAACTTTATGAGGTGTGCATGCATGTAAGGAGTTAATTAGCTAGGAGGTGAGGTGGCCTTTTCGCTTTCTAGATGAACAGATGACTAATTTCCAATGAACACTATCATGTTCAAAACAACCCTATTTGTACATCTTTCTAGTCCATTTCGAGGTTTCTTCCTTTGCTGTCCCTCTTCCAACTGCTTCCATGTTTGTATGTAACTTTAATTTGAAAGCGACATTCCATGGAAAAGATTAACGTAACACGCTAAAGTATTTCAGGTTAAGAAATTTAAGGAAGTAAACCTTGCCTTAAATTTTGTGAAACTTTTTTTTTTTTTTACCCTAAATAAGATCTTCGCACTACCTACCCCAAATTTCAAACTCTATCTATACTACGAAGTACTAATAAAAGTAAAATTCTACTTTTGCAACTTCACGCCTAAATTACCTCCAACTCCTAAACTATTATTGTATAAAATCTAATAAATATTATGGTAGAAATATGTATTTCTTATAAAAATATGTTTGTCTTGGTAAATATGACAATAATATAAATACGTAAATTATTTGGTAAATATTGTATTAAAATAAGTACACACTTATGAAAAACATTTTTCGGATAAGTACACAATTATGTACGAAATTTCATTTTCTTACATATATAATATACTTTTTTTAAAAAAGTAATACTCTCATTGAAAACAATCAAAACATAGTATTTTAATACTTTTTATTATAAAACTAATACTTTTGCCTAGAAATGTAATAATTGGTGATACATAAAAAAATTTACATTTTTGTTAAAAAACACTCCGTATTACATAAATTTTTATGTATAAGTAATATGACACATAAATTTTTATGTATATACATATAAGCCAGTTCATATGAAAACCACACCCAAGGTGAGAACTTATGGCCTAATTTAATTTGGAATTTTCATTTGGCAAGATCTGATTGATAGGATTTAATGGGTATTTTAAACCCTTATTTATTTATTTAGTTATTTATTTATTGCGTTAGGGGCATTTAGGTAGTTTTTCACATAATTTCCTTACATACGAATTCCTAATTGATTATATTGCGTGATTTTTGGGAATCATAACTATGATTTTAAAGATTTTTTTGATATTTTTTTCTTCCTTTTTCTTTTGATTTTTTCTAGCGCTCGTGGTGACTACTTGGAATAGCTTTATGTTTGATAAGATATGAAATAGCTCATAAGTGTGCTTCGTTTGTACTAAATTATTGACTAAATGCTAGGTAATTGCACTTAAATGAGGCTTTGTTCATGTGTTTATGGATCGAGGAAAGGAAATTTGGGCTTTTTCATGTACGAGCTTAAAATGATGAGGTCAAATCGGGATAATACCGAGGTAAAATGGTCCAAAAATTGAAAGTGAAAATCATAGCACTGAGCAACAGAGTAGCAGAGCAAAGATCGTGTCCAAGAGGGTGTCACGCTGAAGGTCACGCCGTGACCATCGGCGTGACACTCTAGCTAGCTTTTAGATGGTTAGGCATCACGCTGAAGGTCACACCGTGACCATCAGCATGACAGCCCCACATCTGAAAGTGGCCTAGCTTGTCACGATGAAGGTCACTGTGTAACCTCCATTGTGACCTGCTAGGCCACCTTGCGGATCTTTGGGTGTCACGTTGGTGGTCACAGCGTGACCCTTGTTCATCTGCAAGGCAATATGCCTGGTCACGATGGAGTTCACACCGTGACTAGGCAATCTGAAGGTAGTTAAATTGGCGCGATTCCAAGAACATAAATAATTAAATAGTTTTAGGCATTATTTTCATTCTATCATTTAATTTTTCAGTCTCCCTCTACATTTTCTCTCCACTCAAACTATCTAAGAACATACCCCATTGTAATCCATGATCTTTGAAAAGATTTAGGGGAAGATTACTACATGTAATTACATTTGCAACTTCAATTTTAGAATTATTTTGTCAAGTTTTATAAAGTAAAGTTCTCTACTTCTTACTCTTGCATTTTACGTTATTTGTAGTTTGAATTCATCATGTATTGTTTTAATAACTTTGTTGTATGCCAACTCAATTATGAGTAATTAAATTAGTTTAGGGATTTAGATTGAATTACTTTGTATGAATGCCAACATGAATTGGATTGCCAAATCTACGACTTGCAATATTTTTATAATGAATTTGATTGTGAAATTGGTGAATTGTTTTTACTCTTGTTTGGTTAGGGCCTAACTTTTCAAGAGGATTTTGGATTTGGTGTTTCACCTATGAGAATAGGGATTCACCATAGCCAAACCTATCACATTTCTAACTCACTCTTGAGAAAGGGGAGGGGAGTTGGAAGGGAAAGAGCACACAAGGTGTTTGATTAATTGTCTCACCTAGTCTAGTTGCCATGAGAATGGCGTTGGCACTTGCTAAAATTCCTCACTTTCATTATTGATCTTTGTTTGGCTTAGAAACTTAGAACATTAAGAAACATTTATGCAAAGTGGTTTTTATCTAAATATCTAAATCATTCCCTTCAATATTGTGTTTTACTTAATTTATTGCTTTATCTTATATTTGTTCTCAATGCAAATAATCATTTCCTTTTGATTAGCTTTCAAACACTCAATGATCTCGTGTTTAACCCGTCTCTACTCAATTCCCTTATAGCCATTCCTAGAGGACGACATTCACTAAACATCACCACTAAAAACCAACTTTCCAATTATCATGTGTGTGTGTGTCTATTGATAAGTGCTTATTTGTCTATATTTCCCCCCCTTTCACTAAGACATTTTGCTTATAAATCATTCCAAATTTCATGAGATTATGATTAAATTGTGTTATTTTGCAAAGAGTTTTGTTTGGAAACAAAGATGAGTATTTTCAGGCATTTTGGTGGACATTGGAGTCAAATGGAGCGTTTTGGATACATTAGGAGTCCATGGGAGCCAATGAGAAGTTAAGAGGATGGACAAATACTTCCAATAGAGCCTAAGAGCGGTGTATTCAATGGTCTTAGTCATTTGGGCAAATCAAAACAAAAGAGGAGCAAAAGATCAAGACATTGTAATTTTTGTTCATTTTGGACACTGCTCGGTTTTTTGACCATATCTCGGCCAAGGAATGTCCAAATGAAGTGATTTTTGCACAATTGGAAAGCTACCTTAAAGGGCTACATCTCTGTTGAAGATTACAAGTGCCAATAAAATGGTTTTAGGGGTGAAAAATAGCCTAGAAGTCAAGATAAGTGCACAGAATTATGTTTTCAGGAGCCTGGTACTACCTTGCATACCCCCATCCGTGAGGCAGTACCACTGTGCTATGTTCACTATATAGGCGCAGTTTTAGTCATTTCTACATGGTTTTGACCCATGGTTGAGCCCTAGCTTCTCTCTTTCACTTCCTTTCATATTGTAGTGTTAGATTAGGTTTAGATTTAGGATTCTTAACATATTTCAAGCTTGTAATCAAGGATTCAACACTTGGATTCCAACATTTCAAGATTCTACCATCCAATTTCTTTAGAGAAGTTTTACTTCCTTTTATCTCTTTATTTTGCAAGATTTATGTTTATTACTTGTGTTTTTGTGTTCTTTATGCTATTTAATCATGAGTAGTTAGTTTATAGACGTAAGGTAGGGTTGTATTACCTATCTTGATGCTTAGTTTGTGATTATTGCATAAAGGGGATTTTATCTTACCTAGGGTTCTTGAGTTTATGAAGGATTTGTGTTTGTATTTTGTTAATGCTTGGTGTACATCATTCATTAACATGTTTGGGAGGATTCTTGGCCTCAATGAGAGTTGGGTCAAGATTCCAAGCCACTCCTTGCATAAACTCGATTTTTCCTATGAAAATGGGGGAAATTGGGGGTTTTAGATGTTTTGTGTTCTTGAAGAACTTGGAGTTGATTCACCACGAGAGTGGGGCAATTCCTTGTTCTAATCCTTGTTAATTTGCTCACGTGAGTGACTTATAGACTAGGATTCTTACGTGCATCCCCTCTATTCCTTGGTTATGCGATTTTCCTCAATCCTTAGGTTGTACTATGCATCTAGAAGATAATGCTCCCTAGCTTGAGTCCTATTTCTTTATTTCGTGTTTACATCTTGTTCATAAGTGTTCGTGTTATTTTGTTTAGTTATCATGGTCTTAACTTGGTTATGATTTGCTTAGCTTCTTGTTGATTTCCTTATGCTAGTGCCTAGTTTATTGCGATTGCATATTGTGTGCCATAAGCCCCAATCCCCTGAGGATGAAATTTCACACATGTACACTCGCCATCACTCATTTTTGCTACAATCAAAAATTGGCGCCATTGCCGAGGTTTGGCAATTTGGTGGTTTTATGTGATTGCTTGTTTTGCTAGCATTGGAATTTAGGGAATCTTAGGAGACTAAGCTTTTTCTTTCTTTTTGTTTGTTTTTATTGTTCAAGATTTGTCTTCCAATGGGGAGGTTTTACAAGATTTGCTCTTGCCAAACGAAGGTCATGTGGTTGAAGCAAATGAGATGATAGGTGAGGATCTCAAAGATAAAGATGAAGATGATGAGGTTTATGATGAGTGCATTGAGATGGAAACACCAAGTTGGGGAGAGATTATAGGGTTGCAAGGGAATGGTGATAATGAACAACTAGAAGATGGTCCAATTGAAGAAGTGCAAGAAAATGATGGTGTTGAGAAAGAAACAAAAGATGAGAGTGTTGAGGAAGAAAGGGAAGAGAATATGGAAGAGTGACAAGGATCACATTGAAAGTTATCCATTTGAAGAGAATTTGAAGGAAAATGTAGTTGGGAAAATGCAAGGCTTAAATGAGGAACTCTCTTTAATAGAGCATGTTGAGAATTTTAGAATAGTTTGGGAACCAGGAGGAGTTAATGGTTTTGAGAGTATTGGCCCACATTGGCCGATATTCATATCTAAGGACTCCCAATTCTTATTGGTGAATGACAAAGTCCCAAGGTTCTCCTTGCTTATTCAAGATGGGAAATGTCAAGAAGAGAAAATGTGTGGAACTCAAGAGAATGATCAAGCTCTTGAGTATTATCAAGATCCGATGTTTAGAAAGAAGACATCATTTGATTTGTGGATTAAAAATAGATTTAAGGAAGGGGCATGCTTGAAGTTTGATTTGGATGAGCATTATTTCTTAAGATTTGAAGTGGTGATGTTGAGCTTAAGGGAACTTATTGATGGCCACCACTTGAAGTGCTACTTAGAAGAAAAGGTTAACTAAAAAGAGATGAAAATTGAAGAAGAGAGCATATTCTTGGAAGTGGGTCATTGCAATTTCTTTGGAGATAATATGCTACTTTTGAGCTTAAAGGAGTTCCTTAATGCTCAACATTTAAGGAAATTTATTGAAGAGAAAGTGGATGGAGAAAAGGAACTCATCTTCATCCAATCATGCATGGATAGTTCTTTGAGAGGTTGAGTCGAGCTAGCGACGTTAAACTTAGCGCTTCATGGGAGGCACCCCATGTTATCTTTAATTTTATTGCACTTTACTTTCTTCTTTATTTTTCTTAACACTTTTATTTTTGATATATCATGCTTTTATGTATATATATATGCTCTTGATTCTCGGAATGACACTAAGGAGTATGCTCAATTCCAAGAAGGCTTCATGATGATTCTTTGGCACTAAAAGATTCATTAGGGGAGTCTCATCTACCTTCTCTACTTTCTTTAATTGTGTATAGTGCTTTACTTGGTGTAGATAGTAGAGATTGTGCTCCTTATGCTTATTGTGGCACCCTTTCCCCCCTTTAGAGTAAATATCTCCCATGGTTCTCTTAGTATTAGCGTTTTACCATGTGTGGTCATCCGAGTTTAAAACGACCATGAGACGTCCTCCAAATTTTAAAAAATAGCCACCAGTGGTCCTCCGTTAAGTTTGGTGTCAAATGGACGTTAAATGTGAGTGCAAACATGTCATTTCACCTATATTTCTTCCTTAAACCTTCTGATCAAGCCTCTGGTAGCAAGCCAACTTCAGGGACATGACATGTTTTCCCTCACATTTAACGTCCATTTGATACCAAACTTAACGGAGGACCAGGGGTGGTTATTTTTTAAAACTTGGAGGACGTCTCGTGGTCGTTTTAAACTCGGATGACCACACATTGTAAAATGCTAATACTCGGAGGACCATTGGAGGTATTAACTCTATATATTTATATATATGTTGGGGCTAACCCTTTCAGCCAAGAGTAAAAATAAAATAAAATCAAATACGGAGTAAAAGTTAAAGCATTGCAAATCAAAACAATGATTATATCTCCTTTGCATTGCTTGTTTTAGTACTAATTGTCTTCATCTATCATTGTTTTTAATTATTTATTATATATATTGTTTGTGTGGTGTGGTGGTAAAGCATTGCAAAATTTTAGATTTGGTGTAAATATATGGTAAATGCATGCATTTCTTAATTATCCGGCCATCTGATCTGATATAATTATTATTTTTTGGTGCGTGGTTAGCAAATAAGTACGCTTGCTGGGAATCTAGTTCCAAGTTACTTCGAGTGGGAAGTTCTTTTCACCATGGCCATTATTGGACTAGGCCTCTTACTGTTTGCTATGCTCATTGGAAATATGCAAAACTTTCTACAGTCTCTTGGTAGCAGGTACAAGTGTTACTTTGAATGCCGTGCATTATATTGTAGACAAACTTGTAGTTTCGATCTCACCTAGCTAGCTTTATGATTCTTTGAACTTCTCATTAATTAGTAGAATTATGTATGTATGTATGTATGTTATTCTGCATGTTTAGGCAGTTGGAAATGTCACTGAGGCGTCTCGAAGTTGAGAAGTGGATGAGCCACCGAGGCTTGCCAGAGGGATTAAGAAGGTACCTATCTAGCTAGCTACTTTCTAAGTTTTTCTTTTTGAATCTTTCTGCTCTTCCACCACTGGCTGCCTTTTGCTATAAAAGTTCAGGACTTGCAAGAAGATGTTGTGTGCTCGTTCCTTTATCCGTCAAATCCTCTTTCACCCATCATTGAATCCAAAAGTTTCTCCCGTTTTGTGGTAGCCATTTACGGTTTAGAACTTTAAATAGATGCTTATAACTCATTTGTAGTAACACTTAAGAATAGACCATTTGTAGCAATTGTTTCAAGCTTCTTATAACTCATTTGGATGCTGAAACAATTGCTACAAAACCTTATTAGCATGCATGTTTAGCTAATATTTTGACAAATGTATTTTTGATGGTGAAACAATTGTTACATCTTGATTTAAATGATTGACTAATGTTTGATTTTCTTAAATTGGTAATTGTATTGTAGAATTTAATATTGTGGTGTTGAAATTTTTATAATTGTAATAGGTCCATAATTCATTTGTAGAATTTTAAATTTTATTTTTTTTGGTTAGTAAATCTTACCGACCACCTAGTGGTCGGTAATTCAATTTTTTTAATTTTTCTTTGTAAATCTTACCGACCACCAGTGGATGGTAATTCCGACCAATTACCGACCACTAGTGGTAGAAAATATGCGCTTTCTATCCGACAACTAGTAGTTCCGACGTCCTCAACAAGAAGTCGGTATTTTCGACCACCTTGAGTAGTTGTCGGTAACAGCTAGGGCTTTTTTTCCGAATCCATAAAGTGGTCGGTAAGTTGGTCGGAAATTACATTTCCGACCTGAAATCACCCTTTTCCGACCACTTTTTGGTGGTCGGAAAAATGCAGATTTCCAGCAGTGATTTACATTTTTTATTGATTTCTAAGTACAATTCTCTTAATTATTATTATTCATATTTTTAAATTTCATATATAGATATGAATACAATTTGGAATAAATCAACTTAATTATATGAATTTATTCTATAAATTTATCTAAATATGTACATGATTAGAGATTATATTAACCATACAAAATTTAAATTTTAATTTTCTATGTTATGAAAATAGATACTTGACTAAATATATAAAAGTCCAACTATATTATTATATTGTACATTTTAACATCTTTTTATTTTTTTCTATTTTTATTTTAAATTCATAATAACAAAAATAAAATTCCGTGCAATGCATGGATAAACCACTATATTTAAAAAATACAATTTGATAAATATCATAAATTAATTAGTAAAATATCATTTATGTTTATAATAATTAAATAAAAAATATTTTAAAATAAAAATAGATTTACTTTATTTAGCATAGATCTAGGGATGTTTATGTGCTGGACAAGTCATTTAATTACTAATTTAGATGTCACATTGCATGCCTGAAGACCATTAGTAATGGAAGATTATTAGCATACTGTGATTGTGTACATCCTATTGTTAGTGGATCATTGTGTGTCAATGTATACTAATTGATTCCAGTGTTCTACAGGGATTTGACAGAGAAGGAAAGTTACGAGCCATTTGTGGTCATTTTTGGTCAATTTTAATTTATTTGACGATTATTAGTTGTTTGACTTGGTTTAAAAATTAATATAAGTGTTTGGTTAATTAACATTTTGCACTTCAAAAAAGCTACTCAAAGCAACTTTTTCAATTAACTTTTTAAGGAAAGAAATTATACCAAATAGTTTTCAGCTAACAGCTAATTTACCAAACACCTTTCTGCAATCAGCTAATAGCTAACATTCATTTACCAAACAAGGCTAACCTCCAAGGTGCAATATCTTGTGTTGCAACCAAACTCCGGGAGAAAGGCCAAAGTGTTGACCTGGTCTTGGAGAACAAACTACTGAAATGGTACAGAGTGATACTAGTGTCTGAACTTTTCCCCAGATCTGCATAACTTTCACATAAGAGCTCCTCCCGATATTATTTGTTCTTGTGTTGTGTTATAGGGTGTTCAAACGAGCAGCGCAGCGCGAATAAATGCACGCAAGCTGATATTAGGATGTGTTTGGTTCATGGGTTTAACTATCAAAAATGACAATCAAAGTCATTGTTATTGTTTTGTTGACAAGTTTCTAGAACAATGAGATTTGATTACCTCATAAACTCATTCCAATTAAGGGTTTCATTCTATTATGAGTTCTACTACATAGACTTCCAAATCATACTCCCTAAATTTTATTCCTTGATGTGGCGTGCACTAATAGACTACTTTTTATTATGTGGGTCCCAATACAAGTGTCTACATCAAGATTTTGTGTAAGAGTAGAAAATTAGAGTACATATAGTATTTTTCTTCTATTATTCCTTTTGATTTTTAAGTTCGGATTAGTGTTTTTAGATTTTTTTTTGATCATATTGGTGCTTTAAATGTCTTTATATTAGAATAAATTACCTCAATTTTTTGTTTTTTTTTTTTTTTTGTTTTTGTATTTTTAAAGCCTTTATTCTCATTATAAATCATACATAACCAAACAACAATATTGGAAATCATTTCAATTCCACCCTACTACCAAACATGCAAAATACTTTTACCAAAACTGATTACCATTATCAAGTATTTGATTCTCATTTCAATTTCAATTTTCATGTGCAAACCAAACACACCCTTAGTTGGGAGTGCCGAATGGCAAAGGGGTATGGTTGGTGTAAAAACTCTGTCAACGGGCGAGCAATATGAGGTCAAAGTGAATGAGCTATAATATAGTAATTAGCAATGAAAGGATGTAAAGTGAGTACTAGTAACTTTTTAGTTTTTATTTTTTTATGGTAAACTGGATTGTTATTTTTTCCTGTGTTACATGTGACTGCTTGTTTTACAGTAGCCACTATCTTTGTCTAGTCAACAATTTTAATTACTACACTATCTTTGTCTAGTCATTTATCCACACGCTTCTTTTCAACTTACTTTTTCAAGTTCCAATTTATCTAATTGGTTAGTTTCATTTATAACCTCTTCCTACCACTCAAATTTATCTAATTGGTTAGTTTCATTAAGACCTCCGCAAACTCTTTATTTAGCATTATTGGTTTTTCTTTTTTCCACTTGTTGCAAACAATCACTTCAAAAAAATTTGCACCACTATTGTGCTTTGACATCACTGCTGAAAATTCACGTTTTCTCAATCACTTTTTCGATCACTTCAAAATAAGATCACTGGTATTATGGATGCTCTAACATCTATCTAAACTAACTTGTCAGAAATTCAAGTGAAGATTATAATAACATCTTCAGCAATGAACCGGTAAAAATGTATGAACGATAGAAGAAATGTTTTTTGTCATCTTGTGATAAGAACTGCTAGACACTTGCATCATGGACGTCTGACTTCAAGACAATTTTTAACAATAAGTAAACATGCTTTTTGGCCTTTGAATAGCAGTGCATAATATTGTGCTCAGGAAGGAAAAAGTATTACCTAAAGATAAAAATCATGTAGCCGTAATTCCCGTAAAGGATAAAATGATAGCTTTGGACACCTATCATTTATGAAGGCATCAATAGAAACAATTTCAAACATTCCATTCTCAAGTAGACATGACCGGTTCGGTTTGAACCAGACAATTCGAACCGTGTTGACAAGTTTGTCAAATTCTAGACAAAAAGGGATCACCAAGTCAAACAAGGATTATGAATTAGATTCCCAATCTAAATAGGAATAGCAACCCTATTCCTATCCAATCAATAACTCTCTGCCAATAAAAGAAGCTGCAACACAACCCCTTAACTCACGCTTTCAATACCTAACTGTGAGCACGAGAGTCATTGAGAAGAGATACCCAAATTCCCTTGAAAAGTAGTACAAGAGTTTAGGTTACAATAGTTTGATAGGATATCATATTGTGTAATCCCCGTTCCCTAAACCAAGTGTACTTTGAATATCAAGCTTTTAGTGGATTTAGGCAAATTCTCAATTTGAGAAGTGCCTCGCAGTTTAGGGTTGTTTGCCCGAACTGCGTTATAAATTTATTGTGTCACAACGCCAGTTTCAACATACTCGAATCCAACATCTATATTAAGTTCAATTGGTATCAGAGCGGCTCTGGTCAAGTTACTAGCAGGATCCAAATGGAATTTCCAAGAGAAGGTCTTTCAAACAATAGACCACCAGCTCTACTTGGCACAAACTTCTCCTACTGGAAAGCTCGAATGCAGATATACATTCTAGCACAAGGAGAAGGCGTCTGGAATGCAATAGAAAACGAATGGAAAACTCCAGTCGATGACAAAGGGAATGCAAAACCTAGAATTGATTGGAGCGAAGAAGAGAAAACTGAATATGACTTTAACTCAAAGGCTATGAATGCAATATATGGAGCAGTAAGCGAAGACACTTTTAAACTAATTGCATCAACTCGCATAGCCAAAACTGCGTGGAGTATATTGTGCGATCATCATGAGGGAAACACAACTGTAAGACAATCTAAGCTTCAGATGATACAAACTGAATTTGAAAACCTGAAAATGGAAGAGGAAGAAAGCATCACCCAATTCAGTGCCAGAGTTTTAAGTATATCCGGAGATGCATTCAACTTAGGCGAACCTATACCCGAACATAGGATCGTCAAAAAGGTACTACGCTCACTACCCGGAAGATTCCAAATGAAAGTCACCGCTATTCAAGAACATATAGATCTGAATACATACAGACTTAGTGACCTAATAGGAAATCTTCAAACCTATGAACTTGAGATGCTACAAGGTCGGAAAAACAATGGTAAAGGAATAGCATTACAGTCCAGACAAGAAGAGAACTCAGAAACTGATTCAGAAACCATGGAACAGTCAATTTCACTATTAACAAAGAATTTTAACCGAGTTCTCAAGAAGTTTAACAAGTCCAGGAATAAAAATTTCTTAAACAACCAAGTAAATTCTACAAATCAAAAACCATCCAATCCAAAGAGAAGAGATAATACATTTACTGAAGGAATACAATGCTATGAATGCAAAGGCTTTGGACACATTCAATCAGAATGTGCCACATACTTGAAAAGGAAAAATAAAACATATATAACAACTCTGAGCGATGACTCAGATAGTGAAGAAGATGATAGCAACACAAACTTCGTAGCTTTCACTGCTAGCCATGAAGACAACACTAGTAATGACATGCAAGAGTTACTAGAGGCATACACTCAACTAAATGCCAAGTGGGAGCAAATCATCAAGAAAAATTTGGAACTCATGGAAGATAATCACTATTTGAAGAATGAAAAAGAACGAATAGAGAAACAATACAAAGAAGCTCAAAACGAACTATTAGACTTCAAAAACAAAGAAGCTAAACTACTACAAGAAATCAAGGAGCTTATCGAAAGACCCAGGACTCCAAGCACAGACACTAGTGAGAATCATCAAACCGAGACACAGGAAGTGTCACAACAGCACTTCCGACACCGAAGA